AAATATTAACAATATTTATTTATTTCTAGTGCTTCATTGTCGATGGCGTGCGAGAAGTACGAAAATCTAGTGACGTCACTCAATTTGTGACAATACCGATTCCGAACTGAATAAACCCTACACATATGACAGGAAATAGGAAATGATTTTATATATCATTTCGCTTGCATAATTAATGATGAAGTCTGCTGAGCACATAAACACAGTTAAGTATGAAATCAATTATTTTATATTTTGTATTTTGTACTTTCGTTCTTATTTTTAATTTATTTTCTTTTAAAAAATGTATGAGCGTTGTCTGAATATTTCGCTTTGTTGTTGTTTGTTGCTTACGATAAACAATTCATACTTAGGGTATAACAAGATTTTCTTTTTAATGACTGTGATATCACATGATGATATTTATACATTCTTATGCTGATGCTGGGACTGATGCTGGTGCTGGTGCTGTTGTGGCGCAAGTAGGAAAAATGCAGAGCAATAATAATACTTGTGTACGCCATTAGTTGTATGCACATAAATTACTTTAAAGTGAGGAAATATTTTCGGAATTTTTCTTGTTCTTTAACTTTGATGAAATATTAATCGTGGAATTGCTATTGAAAGTCTTCATATTTTTGTTTAGAATATATATATATATATATAGAATATATGTTATTAAATGTGCTAAATGCATGTTCAGTGAATAGATGGAAATTCATGCTATGCATCTTAATTCTATTGAATGACGCAGCAACCCACAGTTTTCTTTGTCCATGTTGTTGCGAATGTTAAGAAGTTTGATGACATTTTTGCTAAAGGTAATAGATATTTTTCCTCTTTTAAGATACAAATTGAATATATTAAGCCGAATTTCAGTTGAAGCAATGCAACAATGATAATAGTCAAATGCTATTCATTTTCTAACAACTTTTTCCTTACTTTCAAGATATTGTTTCGAAATTTTTTGTTGCACTCAAGTTGTTAGCATTTAGTGTATAAGTACTGTCCAAATCAGACAATTAAGCTGTATAAACAGAATAGTTTCAGTTCAATCTTCCTCCACTTTAGGGACACTGTTACAAAATTCTATTTTGGATACAAGTTGTCAGTATTTGAAGTACAAGTACTGCCTAAACCAATTAATTAAGCTACATAAGCTGGATAGCTTCGGTTTGGTATAGGCACATTACTTCAAAATCATATTTTAGATACAAGTTTTTGGCATTCGGGGTACATTATATACCAACACTAGTTGTTTATACTCTATAAACACAAGAGATTTTTTTTAAATATCTTGTTTTAAAATATTATATTGTACTCAAACTGTCACATTCGCCTGCCATATGTCATATAAGCTATAAAATAGAAGGGTGTCACATCGATGTTTTGATTTGTTTAAGAATCTTGTACAAAATCGAAAAATTGACTCAAGTTTTTAGTAGAAAGTGTACATGTACTACCAAAACTAGCCGTTTAAGCTGTGTAAACAGAAAAGTTTCAGTTCGATGTTTTTTTTATTTACAATTCGGATATTGATTCACAAACTAATATTGGACTCAAGTTTTTAGTAATCGGTGTACATTTGCTACTTAAGCCAGATGCTGTGGGTTTGAATTATTTCCCCAAATCTGTACAAGCAATTTGAAATAATATTTCCAAAATATTAGGTACGAATTTGTGGACGTTGTTTCCTTTTGTATTGACTGGAGTCCCAACTTTAGAGCTAGAGGTCGTGTCAATACTTTATGAAGCTTTGTCTTTATTTTAAATGAACTTTCTGTTCTAAAGTATTTTTATTATGAAAAAGCATAACCTGAATCTTCATAAATGAATAAAGGTACTGAAGATTATACCTATCTATGAAGTATGTTTTTCTGAGGAGAACCATTTCTGTTTTTTTCTTCAAAATGTGTAAATGTTTTGCTTTAGAATTCACCCTGAAACAGTCATATTTTTTAATTTAGTATAATTTATAATTATATAAATGTATATAACAGGTATTATATTTATGAGATTGTTAAAATATTAAATATCTTAATAATCTCTTATAAAACATTTTTGGGAAAAAGCACATAATTATTCTGATAATAACTGGGGCATCACTTGTGGCGCAAAACTCAACAATAAATTTTTTTTATTGTCTTATAAAAATATATTAAAAACTGAATTATAATAAAAATTTTTCCGAGAAAACAATGAAATTAAGGCAAAATATATTTTAAGGGGAAATTTATATATTTCACAAGTAAAATTATTAAAGCAAAATTTCTGTGAAAATTTTATTACAATGTTTAAATTTATTACGTAGAAAAGTATGACAGCTAAGATAAACATAATGAAAAAAGATATATTCAGCAATACATATGAAAATGATATAAAACATATTTTTGTTACTAAAAGTTTTTGTAATTTTAAATGAGGAAGAATCAATGGATTTACCAAATCCAGTATAGATGAATGCAACTTTCAGGAACACTTTTTGTCAATAAAGGCGTCTATGGCAATAAAAAAAGATCTTTGTCTCTATATCAGTATGTATCAGCAATAACGTAAAGTACTTTTATATTTCAACTGCACATTTGGAAACAGCCCAGGGCAGAAATGAAGGAATTGAAAGATGGTTACCTTTTCTTCAGTCTAGTTGGAGCTATGATATTAAATATTGTGAAGGATACACATTTCACCCAACTGATTTTCAGTATGACAGAAATCTGTGATGAGACTATCTGTTTAGAGACATTCTATATCATTTTGCTTACAAGCAACAAGGCTTGTGTAAGATTGCATTAAGGTCATAGTGAGGCACTAATCTTGCATGGTGTGAGTGGCTTCCACGTATATAATCTGTTATTATAAGGTATTTTATATTAGTGATCATTGTAAATGGAGAACATCCTGCATCGCAGATTGTCTTTTTGAAACTTTTTTACTTCGTTAATCCATTACTTTAATATCTATTTATCAGTAATAATAGTTTTTTAAAACCATAATGAACCACGAGTGCTTCATATTGGAAGACTCTTGTATTTACAATTTGCTATTTGAAAGTAAATGTATTATGTTAACAGCCTCATTAAGCCTCATCAGTTTTCATATAATATATATAATATATTCATATAATGTATAAAATTTGGTAAAACAAAGATGCGATAGTAATCACATTCAATCAATTAAAATTTCAGTGTGAAAAGATTAAAAGCAGATGTCTTAAAAAATATTATGGAGAGCCAATATTTGAGAAATAATAAAAATTTATTTATTTATTTAAACGAATTTATATACAATCAGTATATAAATCATATGGTTAATAAAACTTTTTCATAATTACTAATTACTTATGGCATAAGGTACACTTTAAGATTGATTATTTTCAATACATCTTATTAACTTATAATTAATTTATTTAGACTTTATATGTCTAGCCTATAACTGAATTTTTTTAATCTTTAATTCAAAATCTTCAAAAAAATGATATTAGTTGGTACTTTTTCTAAAACGACGTTTGAATGCATTGCGGTATATACAAGTATTGTGCTTATTCGGATAGATTGCATATATTCTAAATACATAGTCCAAATACACAGATATAAATAATTTATTTAAATTAATCGAATTATTTGTTGGAAGTCCAGTTTATGATACCCAAACTATTCAGATAATATGAATATACTGATACAATTAAATTGCTTGAACTGCCGAACTTTATAGAAAATATGCATATACAAATATGAACAATTATTGTTTGCACTATGTAATTTATTTGTATTGAGTCCAGAGATTTATATCCAAATTAATTAGATACTCTATACAGATTTACATAGCTATTATTTGAACTATTTGCATATATGCATATAAAAATATAAACAACTATTGCTTGCACTATTTAAACTATTTGTTGTGAGTCCAGAGAACTATATCCGAACTATACAGATACTATATACTGATATGCACAACTATTATTTGAACTATTCAAATTATTTATTGCTAGTCCTGATAATGATGTCTATGAACTACAAAGGGAATGATGTCGAACTGTTTATTGCAATTCAGACAATTCATATTCGAACTATAAAGAGATTTTCTTAATTTTTAAATAGTCTGAATAATAAAATATTCAATAATATGATCGTATTTAAAAATAATTATAGTAAATATATTTTTAGAAACTTTAAATATTTTCTGTTAGCTATAATAAATTATTGTTATTTATAAAAAAGTATTTCTATTGATTTAGAATTTGCTATAATTAATATAATATATATTTTTTATTTAATATTTAAATATTTTTATATGAGATTATAATTTAAATAAGCGTGCATTTTGTTTGTTATTGCAATAAATAAGTGCATGCAACTATTAATGTAAATATTTAGCCACAATTGAAGAGGGAACATCAAAAATTAAAATAAAAGTGAAAATTGCATATATTAGAAGAGAATAAATTATATAATACAAATACAAATATATTGAAATTGAAATTGTTTATAAACAAATTTAAAAGCTTCCAAATATTTTTCTTCGCGGTATTTTACAAACGTCATTGTTAACGTATCGCTAACAAACGACTTGGCGGCCCCAAGCAAAGTTTTTATTTATAATTATATATATATATATATATGTATACTCAAAAAAAAAGCAGCAGCAAATTTAAAAATAAAATAAATATTGGAAATTTAAATATAATTTGCTATTTATTCTCAAAACTAATAAATCTAAAATGCTTAAAAAATCATTTCAATTGAATTGGACAAATTTTGAAAAATTATACAAAAAGTGCAAAAGCAGCTCAAAATTTTATCAAAGCAAAAAGGTGCGCTGCGCGTTCCGAACATCGAACAAAATTAGAAGAAAATTAAATATAAAAATAATTGCTATAATTTATAAATAAAAGTAGCATTAAATTAGTTCAAATTAATAATTATGTATTTTTTTTTATAGCAAAAATTAAAATTTTTGTACATATTCTATTTTGTTTTATTTTTTTTTTTTGTGTATTTTGCTTCAAAGTAAATACGTACGATCTGTCAATCAAGATTGATGCCTCCTGCTCTTTAAACCTGAAAGGGTTACAAACAATAACAATAAACATTTTGTTTTAAAAATTGTTTTCTATATTTATTGTTTTTCATATTTCATATTTTATATTTCATTTAAAAATATATATATGTATATTTATAAATTAAAAATATTGATGAGAGATTGTTGACGCGGTTGGCGAATAAAAGCATTAAATTTGTTTAAAAACAAATTAAAATCTGAACAATGAGACGTAGTGCACATTTTTACAAAAAAAATAAAAAAAAAAAGAAAAGATAAAACAGAAAATTATAATTTAATTTATTTTAAAATTTATAATATGGACGCATTTAAAAAAAATATATATGTTTCAATTGGACTTCATGCATGTTGGATGAACTAAAGTTTTACGAACATATAAGTAATTTTTTTATAAGTCACCAAGTAATTTAAAAAAAGTTCAAGTGCATTTTTCTGCTTTGAAATATGAGTAAAAATATTTATTTAAATAAATAAAATACCATGGCTTATATAAAATATACACACAAATACAGCACAAACAAATACATATGACCAGATGGTAGTTTTATTTTTTTAACATGTCCCATGTCCTTCAATAATGACGGACAATATATCGCATAACAATGGCAATGGCTTTATGCAAAATATATATCGATTTTGCTCGCATTAACGATTGAAGTGAGCACATATCTCTCCATATGATTATATAGAATGGAAGCATGACTCAACAGTGGATTAATTAAAATTTACTTAATATGCATATAAATTTTAACAATGCTTCAGTTAATGTATGATTAAGTAAATCGTTAACGAGAGACAATACAACCGGCGAGGATATGAAAGAATCATTTCATTACACTACTGCGAGCAATATGTTAAAATATGTATTGGATTATAAGTAATACTTAATTACGAGGTACGCGTGAATACATTATCAGCTATCATAAAATGTAAATTTAAATTGTGATACCGGGAGGCACAAGTATGCTATGGAATCGCTTTTGAAGCGTTGGTACTGACACAGATTTGATACTCTGTATGCATTGTAGAGAATGGAAGTTTATAGCTTCCTTGAAGGTGTCTGTATTAATTGCAGTAATTGCAGTTAAATGTTAAATCACTGATCGTAAAGCCATTACTTCATTAAAATTTATTTATTATAGTCCACAATCAACTTTTTAAATGTCTTGCGACTAAAATTCACAAAAGTCGTGATAATTATAAAAAAGTTTAACTGTGAAATAAAAAAAAAAATCAGATAAATCCATTCGTGTATTAAAATTGTTTAAGGACCCACAGTGAGCTCAATTAAATGAATTAAAAATTTAAAAGTTCAAAATGCCATCAATATGCTAAAGTTTGCGGATATTAATTAAGCGTGCAGAGCAGTTACGTCTAAAATGAAATTTATCCTTTCGCTCACTATTAATAAATCCCGTTCACAGATTTTAATTTGTGCGCCGGTCCAGCGTCATAGTTGGAACGTTGCTATTCGCCCGAATGCAAAAATTATTAATAAAAAGTTTGGAAATTTATGCTGGTGGTTTCAATTTTAAATTTTGTTGCCATTTTGGCATTTGATATTTGCCATTTTTAAGTTGTTTGTGCAGTGGCGTCACTTGATATGACTTTTCAGCTTACCGCTGACGTAGACGACGACACCCATTTCCATATGCCCTTTTGAACCCACTACCACTCTTACACCCACCACTCCCACCACTTCCACTTTCACACCAAACAGTCGGAATCGTTAATAACAATTGCTCATATTTTTGGTTCGCATGTTAAAAGTTCTTAATCCGTAACAGAGCGCATTGCTGTGGGTCAAATAGCGAAAATAGTAACTGCACTTTTGAATATCCTTACTATTTTTATCCTTTTTTTCTATGGCGCATAACTAAAAACACACTTGAATAGTAAATGGTTATTCGGTTGCTCTTGTAAGTGGCTTAAAAGTGGAAAAGTTAGAAATTTTCGTGTTCCATGGAAAAAGAAAAACAGAAAATTGCAGGTAATTTGACAAAGTCGTTGCAATAAGTTTGTTGGTCCAGGAGCAGATGAAGGACAACAAATGCATTTAATCTAAAATGACTTGAAAAGTAATTTGAAAGCTGAGTGCAACATTTATTTGATTTGCAGTTGGTTGTGGTGTTTAAATCAGTTGAATTCTGGCGGGTAAAATTCGACTTATTAACAAGTTTTTATTGGCATTTGAAAAGACATCACATGGGTCGTTATTTTATAAGGAAATAAATGCAAATTAAATACATTATGTTTGCATTTAAAACTTGTATTTTTTAAAAACAAAAATGTCTTATAATTTATTTTAATGCAGCTCTGTTGGAAGTTAAAAAATAGGACAGTTCTGGTATAGAAACGACCATTAGGCATTCAGAGATCAACTAAATTGTTTGAGAGAACCAACTAAACTTGTTCCAGGGCGATAACGTCATCGGAGTACTGCTAGAAGACACCTGATTCAATAAGTTATGATATGTAGATGGGTCTGAAACTAGTTCTTCGAATCAGACAGTAATAGTTATCGAAGAAATTAATACACAATATTTAATTGGCTTTCATGTGGTTGGAGTTAATACAATAATTGAAAGTAAGAAAGCTGGAGAGTATCTTATGTTCCTAACGTGTTACTCACGCTTATTATAATATTTGAACTGGTTCAAAGAGGGATAATAATTTTACTAGAAGACCAGTTGGGATTGTTTAACACGCGTTGAATATATTAAAACTATGCAATTTACTAAAATAATAGTAAGTTAGGTATGTTATCTGAATTTTTTTCAGTGCTAAGGATCATTCCTTGCTTTGTGAGGTAATAAAAATCCATAAGACAAATTACAGTATGATATGGCATTTGATCTGACGTTAGCCCACAATTGTGATCACTACAGTATAAAATGGAAGATATGAATACAGAAGACTTATGGTTGTAACAGGGCGTTATCATAAGTTACACAACACGTATTTATTTCGCTTTGTTAGAGAAGAAATTTCACGAACGTGTAACTCATTACTTTAGTGATGGGAATTAGCCGACCACGATCATACGATTGAGCATTACTGAACTTTCTTTTTGTAGGATCCTGCATAGAATTAGGGACAATTCTTAAACTCTCGATTATGAATTAAGTGACGGTTGCGTTGATGCTAGTATGAAGCGACAAATCAACGGAATTACCTTTAAAGGTTTCAAGATCTTCAATGATGGACATTTAAATAATATCTCGAAATGGACATTTAAATCACACACTAAATGACATGATTCATCCTAATTACAAGTGTATTATATTTATGTTAAGTTTCGAAACTGCAAAATGGATACAAATTGGATCTTAATACCTAAAAAGGGTATTAGCATATTTTTACATTATAAATATTTTTCAAGATACGAGTATATAAAATTTCAGGTCTACAAAACTTAAATTAATACAAATTAAATTATATATAAGTGACTTCTTATCATGACCATTCCATGAACCAGAAGTCAAAACTTAAGACACACATGCTGGGAAGAAATGGCAGCACATTTACATTGGGCTGAAAACGGAAAAACAGAAAAGAGGATTTAATTTAAGTAACAGCAGGTCAAGAGTGTACACACCTATAAGAGAACATTAAACGAACATGGGAAAAGGGTCAGTGAAGCACTAAAAACTCAAGGAGGAAAGTAAGTTAAAAGTAAAAACCAAAGTAAACACATAAATATGTACAAATAAAACTTGAAGTTGAAATAGTTCCTTAAAAAATTCTTACCAAGAATTATGTTCAACGACGTGAACGCTGTTTATGGGGAAACTAAACGCTTTAGCCAAAATTAAATGATTTAGCAAGGCTTAACCCTAAGCAGATTAAAGAAACTTTATGTGCTTAAGTGTATGTTTATGTGGTCTGTCGTAAAAGTCGTTAACCGACGTCACATGGATATACATATTGTGCTACAGCAGTTGTGTATATAGTCAATGGATATTTGTACGATATAAGAAAACTCGCGCATTGCTTATCTTACCACAGTTTGTATCCTGTCGCAAACTGTGCTTTAAATGTTTTGTATGTTGTATGTTGTGCCTGAAAATGTCCTTGGCATAAGAAATTGCAATTTAATATTGTTTGAAATTGTTTCGAAGTGACGTCAAGACTAAGTTATATAAAAATTAAAATAATAAAATGTATATTCTATTAAAATTTAATTTAGTGCTGTTATTTGGGTATCTTATGCCTCCCTTGCGCAGTACCCTTGCTATTTCAATAAACTTTTATATAGACGATTTCTTTTCTGGTATTTTTATGAGCTAAATTACTTTGCAAAATTTTAAATAATTTTAATTATGTAATAAAACTATTTGGATTCATTTCTTGTATTACAAGAGTTTCTACATGAATTTATTTAGTTTGTCTTGAAATATTTCTGCATTTTTATTTTAATTTGTGGATATTTTATTACCATTCCCATTATTTTTATTAATATGATAGTTTAAGGTATGTATTTGTTTACTGCATACAATTTTCATACTTTAAAAATATTTATAAAATAGAAAATATTAGGAAAAATGTACTCATAAAACGTAGTATTTAGTAAAATATGTAAGTGATTGAAAATTTTTAAAGCATTTTCTTTAAAGAGCCATAAGAAAGACTCATATTTTTAATATTTAATATTTTTACTGATGTTTTCTATTTTTTTTAAATTTTATTTCATATTTTTAGTGCAATTAGCTAGCACTTTTTCAATTTCAAATTTTTTTTCTCTTTGTTTAATCGCTATTTTCTTTATTTTTATGCAAATATATGAACAATTCACAACTGACTGGATGTATGAGTGGAATGAAGGGTAGGATTTCACACGTAAAATGAATTAAATTGGTTTAGAGATTCATATGCAGTCTAACCATTTCGGTGCATAAGTTGAAGATTTTTCTGTTCTATTTATTATATATTATATTACTCATTCTATTATAAAAAACACAAAATCATAAAAAAAAAAAATTAGTTAAAAGGGTTTGCCCTTTTTCTGTATGTAAAATATTTGTAACTCATTTTCTAAATACACTGCAATAATTAAATATATGATATATAACATTATTAAAAACAAAATGAACAAAAATTTAAATTTAAAATAAAAATGTAAAAAAAAACACTTAAATATGAAATACCACATACAACACATGGAAGTATTAAAGATTATTAAAAAGTGCAGAAGCATGAAATGAACTAGTGATAGAATGTCTTCAAAGTAAAGTGAGTTGTAAATACAAGTAATAAAAAGATAGATATGTAGTAGGAACTAAAAATGAATATTTTGAATACATTAAGAATAGAAGTGAAGATTTGAATTGTTTAGAAAAATATTGAAAGTCAGAGTAGTATTAAAGTCACTTGATATAAAAAACATTGATTTAATAATTTTTCTATTAAAGCAATAGCAGAAGAGGCTTTTCTTTCAAGCGTTTACAAAATTTTTTTCTTTATCATACAATTTGTGTATTTTTTTTTATTTGAATATGCATTATATATAATTAAAATTTTTCTAATTACTTTCAAAATCTTTCCCCATCTTTTAATTAAGCAGCAACAATATAAGTACACCTAGTATTAACAGTACCAGCTATTTATTAATAATTATTTTAATACATAATTGTTAGTGTAAAGTAACATGATAACAATAAAAAAAACGATTACTAGTAGAAAGGTTTTAATATCATAAAAACCGATAGATATGGAAACTGACTTAGAGCCGTTTTAAGTGGGGTTTGAACATAAAAATTCATTCCTAGAGAGTGGCGCAATCTCTTCAATAATATTATAACTAAATTCATGGTTATAAGACCATCTCATTACTTATATATTATAATAAGAAATATGGAGAATGGGACGTTTAAAAACTATACACGTTTTCGTTGCCTAGTCATAGACATATCAAGCTTTGGAGATATATCTGATATATAAAGAAAGGAGTGTGAAATTGGTAGTAATTATATAAATAAATAATAACAGTAATAACGAAAATAGTTCACGTGATAAAGTTATAATAAAATGTATTAAGTTAATAATTAATTGTTGGTAATTACATACATAAATAATAATAACGCTAATAGTTCACATGAAAAAGTTATGATAAAATAAATTAATATATTAATTTATCATAATAAAAATATTATGATAAATATATAGGTTAGGTTAAGTAATACCATTGATTCTAAGGATCCACTAAGGTCTATACACTCATTGTGTTACTATTTGATAAATGTATAAGTAATAACTAATTTTGTTTATACTTCAGATGTTAGGTTTATACCTATATTGTTGCTTAATTGTTCACCTTAACATACCTTTATTTACAACACTTTTGTTTGACAAATTTAATATTAAAATACATTGTTTATTAGACATGAAGTGTAAAAAAAGAACTTACCTTTCACTTGCTATGCTAGAATTTCTGGACATAGACTTTGGTGACATTTCAAAGTCGGAATCTGAGCGATATAAGAACGATTCACGACGCTGTGGAAGATTCTGTAAAACCAAACCGGCGCTTGGTGAGCCGCCTTCAAGCGGAGATCGTGCTCCCTGGCCATTTTCTACATCGAAGCTGTAAATAGAAAACAGAAAGGAAAAATGAAATTTCTGAAAAGTACTTCAAATATAAAAAATATGAAAAACTAAATATATGGAAAAAAATTTTAATTAAATTTGCTATTACTTTTCCGTAGCAGAAGCGAGCACTTCACAGTTTAAAAAGGACAAGAGCGCTGAGTACACAGACGAAGGACAAAAACTCAATTCAAGTAATTCTGTGAGTTTTTGTGCTTTTAGCTGCGTTGCTCTGGTAGTTCTTTGTATTGTTTCAATAATAAAAATAATGCAATACAATACTTTGTATCCTTTTATTTCTCCTTTTTTCTGTTTTAATTTCTTAGTGTGTTTTAATCTTTCATGTTTATTTTGTTTATTTTTTTTGCATCGTGTTTCTTTAATAAAAACACAAATACTTTAGAAAATCCCTTTACTTTGTTGTTTATATTCGTTTCACTTTTCTTGTTTCTTGTTTTTTGTTTGTTTTTTGTTTTTTGTTTTTGTTCCTGGTTCACTCCTATTATGTGCCATTTTGTTGCTCAAAAAACGCATTTCCTTTTATTTCGAGCAGCTTCCGTTGTCGCTCGCAAAGGAAACGGAAGCGCGACGTTTAACAAGAGATTTTAAAGTTTTCATTATTTTTATTGTTGTTTTTATTTTTATTTTTTTTTATTTGATGAAGTTTTTTAACACAGAAAATTTTTTTTAATTTTTTCTGTTATTATTTTTATTTAGGATCTTGAAATTTTTTTTTTTTTTGGTTTTGCTGAGTTAGATTTTATTTTTTGGGCTCTTGTAGCAGTTGACATAATTAAATCACGATGGCTGCTAAAAAGTTTTTCCGCTGCGACGCCATTTTTCGAAAAAAGTTGCTAACCAGTACATGCTGCGCTTAACAGTTTTTAATGAAAATGAAATAAAGACAAAGAAAATAATGAAAAAGTGAAAAAAAGGAATAAAGAAAAAGAAGAGGAAAAAAGTATTATAAAAATTGTGGTAACAAAGAAGATGTCAAATTTAAAAATGAGAAAAGTGCCAAAAACTTTGCTATATTGTTTTTCTTTTTCTGTTAATACCGAAAGAATGAGTATATTTAGGGTCTTTAGGAAACGAAATTCATCTACACTATGCCAAATTGATTGGCATTTATTTTTCATGCTGACTTGAAAGAGTACGGAAGCCCATTACCCAAACTTGGGGAATATTAAACAAGTTCTATAGTTTTGAAATAATTTATTTGAAATGTCACTATTATACAGTTGAGAAATTTCTTGACTCCAATATATAAGAAAAATATAAAAAAAAAAAATAAGAATAATATTAAAATTGTATAACATAAGCAACTGAGTCTGCAACTTTATTTCTGTAGCGCATATTTGTCTCTGAATTTTAAAATATTTTGCTTTTATCAAAATTTTACAGCTATGTGCCTCTTCTCCTAAGAGATTTATTAACAACAAAAGCAAATCTCCAAAGTTGTGCAAAATTTATAAGGGTTCAAAGTAACTTTCGTGTTACAATGTGAACAAAACAAAAAAAAAAAGTGGAAAAAGCGAACCCACAGCCACAGTAGAAAGTATCGTATCTGGCAAAACATGCTCAAGTATTAAAATCTATTTTAGCTCATAAAAAATTTAATCCACCACTTGACATAGTAAATTAATTAATTTACTTTGTACACCTCACCTTTCCCTACCTTTAATGGCACCAACGTATTTGTTTATATTTGTATATTTGTATTTGTTTCTGTTTCTGTATCTTTCGTTGTGTGCACGTTCTTAACTAAATAAAAATATTTGCACATATAATTAGGCGCATACGAACTCAAACATAAAAGCGCTTTCATGTGGCGCGTTCGCCTTTATTAATATAATTTTTATATATTTTTTGTGGGTTTTGTAGATTCAAACATTTATAAATATTTTCCTTTTGAGGCTCGTATATGCACAGTATTTATATAAATGTTTTCTCTACTTGGCTGCCTCGGGCTCGTCACAATAATGAATGCTATTTACTTATAATTTACGCCTAAACGCACACACGGAGTACTCACAATTATTTAAGTGTGATTTCAGTGACAAAAATTAAGATTGCAAATATCTTGATGTGAGAATATTATTAAATATGTTACAATTTAGCCATAAATTTGTATTTATGTAGCTGAGAAAAAAATCTCATAATTAGAATAATGTAGGATGAAAGAAATATTCTAGGTTTTATAGAGTGCTTTGGTTGTCCGCAAATAGGAATTTATAATTTATATTACTTAAATCAAAAGAATTTATAAGAATAAAGTTACTATAAGAATATATTCTTACATTTATACTTAAAATTATTTACAGGATTATTAATAATTAATTTAAATGTGATGTTTATTCAGTGCGTCAACAAGTGAGTCTACATTTTAAATTTGAGAGAGTGTGAAAGCTGGCATATATTGCTCAAATAATATATATATATATTAACAATCCAATCAATGAATATTTTCAAAGATGACTATTAATATGTCAATAGTCAATCTAAAATGCTTTTAGGAACTTACAACCTAAAAACGCTTCAAGGATTGCATACCACAATCAAAAAATAACCTAAGAATTATTGCGGGATTATTGAACGCTCATTGTAGATTGAAGTTAGAAATTCAATCCAACTCAGATTGCAGATACTGTAGAAAGCAACTGCATACCATGTGCTTGGAGAGTGTCTGCTACTGATGCACAAGCGGAAGAAACACCTAGCAGGATTTATTGGATTATAAGGATCCAAGACTAGGAGGGATAGGCTCTATACTGTCTTTCATTAAAGAATTCGGACTTGCAGGAACACAATAATCTGACTAAGGGGCACAATATATCTTTTTGGTTATTCTTTTCAATAATAATAATAATGATATGTCAATATCCGAAAAACTTGTGTTGTCAGTGAATTTTAAATAAATTGGAATTGAAATTTTTTCAGTTTACTCGTGCTACTATTAGAATTAGATTTCTTTTCAAAGGATATAAAAATATTTTTTCTTTTAATATAAAATAATATTTTCTTATGCTCTATTCCTCTGATTTTTGCAAAATTATATAAAAATTTGATATTTTTTGTTACATTATTTTTTTTATATTCAATGTAATTTCTGTAAATATAAAACATAATATTACAGAGTAATACAATGAAAGAGAATTATATTCATAGTAAATGAATCTTAATTATAATATCAAACCTTTGATGTTTTTGTTTTAATGAAATGAATACGTGAATAGTATTATTCCTAGTAATAATAAGAAACGAACAGATGAAAAACAGAAGTAATTATAGTAAAAGCCAAATCAAATGAATTCGAAAAATACAGAAAATGTAAGTTTCATTATATGAAAGCAAAATTTAATACAACCTGTATGGAAACTATGTACGAGGGTTGAATAAGAAGTTTTATTAAATAGCCGACATAAGTATATAGAAGAAGAAAAAACAGTTTGAGCTTATACGTACAGTCAATACTAAAATAAAGCAATTATTAGTCTTAAAGTTATAATGAAAAGCAGATATTTTAAATATTGTTTATCAGATGAGTTGATAGTTTATGTGTATATAAATCTCTATAATCAATAAAACTCTCTAAGGATATAAAATTTGTTTCTTAGGAATAGAGTAAAAGATAGTAACACTATAAGGTTTAAGATCTAAGTATATGTTCTTAAAAAGGTTTTGTTGCAACGGCGAAGCATTGCCACTACATTACTCGGTTACCATCCCTTTTACTCATAATCGTGAATATCCATAATATTATTACAGCTTTGAACGTAGAGAAACTGGAATTGATATAGGTCCACGCTGAATGTAATATAATCTAAAGATACATCTCATCTTCTCTGGTTTTCACCACAAATTCTACATTTTTATCGATGATATTCAGTTTTGTTTTAAAGCAGATATCTCCCGAGGAGTTAATGTTTGTTAGGGAAAACCAAGAGCCTATTGTGAAAAATACTTGATCATTTTTGCTAAGTTTAAACTCTCAAAGCTTTTAAGAAAATCTATATATGGGCAATCTCAATTTCATACGTACCTATCAATAAACGTTTCTTGCTAAACGTAAAAAATATTTGCTTTTTTGTAGCTTAGATTCAAATAGAGTTGACTTGTACATGAAAACTATGTTCTGCCAGTCGTTATTGTAAGGCAAGTTCAAATATTAAGATACTCCGATTCACATAGGTCCTTGCCGGTAGCGATACAATTGGATGATTTATCTCCTCCTTAGGTTTCCATTATAAACTATCATTAAGTCAACGGTATTCAGTTCTATAGTGAAACAAAAATCTTAGATGGATTTCATCTTAATCCAGGTCAAGCAAGGGACTATTACAATATGTGATCAGTTTCTTTTATGCTTTTACTCTGATAGTTGTTAGAGAAGTGTCTATTTCGGACACTTTATCTAGTCTATTGCTTACCTATCAAAGGAAACTTTTTCTCAAACTATGTCGTTAAGTTGTGATTGTGTGGCATATATTCGATGCGGGTTTACTTATTATACGGAAGATTTGTTTTGTTAGTCATTTTTTGCAGTTGTTATTGTTTTTTTTCCAAGAGAGTAAGAGAACTTATATACACATCTAAGATATCTTTGCAGTATAACTCACCGATAAGGGCAAGAAGTAAAGAGGTTATTGAGCTAGTTGTGTTCTTCACATTAATGGGATTTTTACAATTCCACAAATTCAAGTATAATGTTATAAGAATTGCAACCGTTTAAGGAAATTACCGATTATAATTTCTTACACTGTTTTATAAATTTAACACCTTTGAATACAAAGTCTTAGAAGGGATAGAGATAAATTTTTTTTTTTGCTCAACTTTAAATGATTATAAAGCTTTCTTAAGTTTATATTAATCTAAAGTAAGTCAGGTTGTAGTAAGTTGTGGTAAAAATTTTCTTTTATATTTTATTAATTATTATATATAAACAAAATAATTTAAAATTAAAAACTACATATTAAAAAATTGTACACATATCCATTA